GAAGATGATATATTATTAGGTATCTTGATTAAACTTAAGGTGTCTCACGAATATATATACAAAGGAGATGTAACTGCCATAATTAACTGAAAACTCATAGCACCAAATCGTTTTGCTTAGTTTCGGTTCTTAGAAAGTTGAATCTACTTATTGGAACAACGTTTGCTTTGATAAAAAAAAGAACAACATTTGCTTTGAATATGTTATTGTTTTGAGGTTTGATATTGCCAAATCTAGTGAAATTTTGTGTGTATTATTATCTATCTCTTGCTTTTTTTCCAAAATTTTCCGATGTGATTTTTTTCAACTTAAATGTGGTCGCGGTGTTTTTCTACTCTTCGTTTCATATGTGTGTTTTGCGGATTTAAAACATGAAAAGAAAAAATGAGTCAAAGGCAAAAAAACTGAAAAAAAACAAAAAACACAAGATATTAAACATTTTTGTACTTTTGAAGTATTGAATAAACTGAATCAGAGAGAAGCACGTGGCAGAGCAGGAGTGGGAAAACAAGGAGAGGACCACAAACACAACAACAGATTTGTACAAAATCTAAAATAGTAAGCAAACTGATAAGCTCTAAGGTGGCTGGGACCCACTAATTCGGACCGATGAGATCTCTTTGTCCAAAGTCAAACAACATCTCAAACACTCCAATTGAATAAATAAATGAATCTTGTTTCTTTTTTAAACATCATCGCCACTCTAATTGCTATCTCACGCGCCTCCGTTACGATCAGTCTCCGTCGCTTGGTGACGTGTCGGACCTTATTGAGTTGTCAAATAGTATCATTTTTTGTTTGTTCATCTTATCTTTCAAATATAACTTATTCTTTAACTAGTTATTTTCCTCCAACAAAGTCTGAATTTGAAATATTTTGTTTTATTATGATTAAAGTAGATCCGAAAAATGTAGATCTTATATTGTCGGAATTAAATTTATTTTAAACAACCTTAAATTCAGAAACTAATAGTTTTCTTTTTTCTAGAACAGTTTAACATACTATTTCTAACTTACAAATTACTATTATTAGATAATTTAAAACTTTAAAGCAAACTTTTCTTTTGAAAAATCACATGATACCAATAGAGTTTACTAGAAAGTCTAGAATTATGTACTATTTTTCAAATACATACGAGGTCGCTGCCCTACGATAATTGTTTTCAATCTAGAGAAAAGATGAATATTGATAACGAAGATATTGAACATTTACAAGGTAAGTTATAAGTCAATTCCGTTGTCGTTAAAACAATTTCGAATACACGAGTTTCTCGTTTCATATCCAACAACAACATTTTTTCACCATATGACCACAACAATCATGTACACTATGATGACTGATGAGTATCCATCATATACATTAGACAACAACAAATATATCTCTTAGAGACATACATACCATGTTTCGACTCCCAAACTGTTCACCAGTTGTAAGGAGACTAATATTATTGCTACCTACGTAATTTTGTGCCACAAGACTTGACATACCATGATGGTAAGTAGCACGCTCTAATACACAACTAGCGAGTTCAAAAATCTTTGTTTCTCTAGTCAAGTTTTGTTTGGTTCGTTGGTTTCACAATTTGTATTTTCTTTGGTTATGTTGAAAAAACGATGGTACTGAAGGTTAAACCTCAATCTTTACAAGACGAGGCATAGTAGGACATGAATATACTTAATTTCCTAGCTTTTCATGAGAAATGATTATCCAATTGGAGCAAAATTAAACGTATATTCGAAACCTGCACTACTTGCGAAAATTGTTGTTATAAATAGAATGCATGACGCATGAATTGGAAAAAATACAAAGATTACAAGTCTTGCTTTTTGTCTCTTCGAGGACATCCGATAAAATTGGAATGATACAGAGAAGATTAACATGGTTTCTGCACAAATCGAGAAATGGTCCAAATTTTTTACTTTTTTTAAAAAAACACAAGTTAAGCGTACGCATTGTCACATTCTACAAAGTTTCACAATATTTTAGCCATAATAGTAAGCAATTTCATAGATTTTAAAACTTGTCTTTTCTCCACGCATAATATTTTTAACTTTTATTTTAATGGTATCTATGAATTCTCTCCTGAAGTTTATGCTATCTATCCATTTTCTTTATAAAAATGTAACTATATTCTAGGATACTTTTTTTTTCAAAATTAGGATGTTGCAATGTGATAAAAATGAAATCATGCAACTAAAATTTCAAATTCGACAATAGAATAAGAGTTTGGAAACAAACAAAACAAGTTATCATTTTTTTTTCTATCAATTTCTAATGTTTTTTTTTTGAAACTTATCAATTTCTAATGTTGTAAAGCTAAGTAAAAAAAAACATTTTTCAAAACGAAATATAAATAGTCTAATCAATTAAAACAAAAATGAATAACTCTTTGAATATGATTGGCAATAGTATACTGTTGCGGTATAAAGTATACCATTTTTATACTTATCAATCACAAAAATATATCAAAACCATTACCAAAATTGTTACACTTAGTTTTTTTACTGCTATATATGACTTTTTTATTGTTCTGTATTAATTACGATATTCTTAAACTTTATTTTGTTTTACCATTTTAAATCACGAATCGGATTTTTTTGTGTTAATGGCGTTCGCAAAACCGATAATTTCGAAGTTTTTGTTCGACGGATTGTTTATGCTAGTTTTCCTACATTTCCAGGATCGGTTTTATTCATTTTTCTTATTATAATGAGAAAGACAAAAAACATGCAATTATTGCATGTGTCTGGGCGATAGGTGAACAATGAAAGGTCCCGTTACATGCTTCTCATCAAATAACATTAATAAATATGGGGTCTCTCACTCTGTATCCATATTATCAAACTAGAACATACAAAATAAGTAAACATCATTTTTAGTATTTTCCAAATAATAAAATTCGAACTTATCTCCCTGATTGAAATAAAAGCAAATAAAACAACTAGAAAAAGTTTATTATCTTCTCATCGTCATCACAATCGTTGTCTAAAAATGTTAGTTTCGTCCTACACCATATAAAAATCACCAATACGGAAATGCATAATTTTATAATATCGAAACTTTTGCTATATATGTTGAAATAAGTAAATAATTTAAAACTCTATCGCAAGAAGTTTCATTACTTTATGTATAATTTAAACGTGAGAATGAAAACTAAAAACAAACATATGTGTACATATATGTGTTGGACACGTACGTGTATAAACTAGTAGGATAAAATAAGTTTTATTGCTATGTTTGATTGTTTAAGGTTAATCGAGCAATTCTACGCTAAAATATGTACATCTATTTGTTCGGAACATCTTCCTCCCAATTACGAAAATTGAATTAGGGGACTATACGATTCTTGGATGAATCGAAAATTCATCACTAATCCAAAATTCACTTAGTTGTGTATTGATCGATGTATTAACCAAACACGATATGTCTATCGCATATATTCATAATTCTTTACATTTTTATTTCCTTTAAAATTTTATATTATCATCAACCTCAACAATTTTTTACTCTATAAAGCATTTCTTTCGACGGTTAAAACAAAAGCACTTAAAATTTGTTACTTTTATCATTTATAAGAGGTTAATTTGCCATATAACCAACAAAAATTTAATAATTCATCAACTACCAAAATTGCTTTATATGGCATAATCTTTTTTTTTGTGCAACCATCAATTTCATTCATTTGATTTTTCGGAATACATTAAGAACATGAAATAACATCCTCATTAAAATTAGATAGAACTTGATAGAAGTGTGAATTTGAGTCAAGACTCGAATGCGTCGATATAAAATTCATGTCATAGCCGGAAAGTTGAGATTTAGTCACTGTAAGACGAGACGTTGAAAACCAATCCCCACTTCCGAAATTCGTTGAAACGAATCCGGTTGCTTCTTCTAGCCCCGTGGAAACCGCTATGCAAGAAGACAAATCAGTGAGTATGTTGGAAGTTTTTCCCGGTAGTGGATTCAGACAAGATTTACTTTTCATAGAAAGGAAATAAGATAGAAAAGTTCTCTTCTCGTATAGGAAGGATGGTGAAAACAATCTCTCCCTACAAAGCAAGGAAACTAGAGAAGTTCTCTCTCTAAAAAGAGAAGAAAGTTGAGCAGATTGTACCCTAGAGAGGCTGATAGAAACAAATTTTAAGCCAGAGCTCTTGATAGCTCAATAGACCTATTGGACCAACAAATGATCCGAAATAGTGGGCCAAGGGAGGCCCAAACGATTGAAAACATGGATTCGACCCACTTCTCACCCAGATCTTGTTCGGATGTCGTACTTGTATATTGACGGGGACGAGCCTGAGATTCCGGCATTTCGGCCAGCAGACTTGTAGTCACCGAAGACGAGATGCTCACAGTGAAACACTTCTCTAACATAAAATCATGGATTGGGCCCGTATTAGTGTAAACACAAAGAGTGTTTGGAGTTGGACCTTTGATGGGAGGATTTGAAGGGCTCGGAGTGACGCTGGAAGAAGCATTAGGCAAGATGAGGGCGGCAGCTGTTTTCCGGGCTTCAGATGGAAAGATACTTGAGGAGCGATGGAAGCCGGAGGAGAAACACGAGCGGAGCAAACTGACGAGAGGTAGATCTTCGGCTATGGCGACTGAGAAGGGAGCATGGGTGGTGAAGGAGCGTGAGCGAAGATGGATATGAGTAATGGAACCCAAATTTACGAGTTGGTGGTGGACAGCGGAGGAACTCAGTGAGATGAGATGGGTTATTGAGCAGTGAACAGTAGATCTTCGGTTTTGAGTCGAGAATAAATCCGCACCATTGAGGCATGAAACAAACACAAGTGAGCAAGTGAATAGAAACGAAATGATAGCTGAGCGGAGAGGAAAATATACCGTCCGATGCCGACGAGCAAGATTCCACCGACGTCGGAAGAAAATGGATTTTTGGTTGTTTCGATAATCGTGCTAGAGAGTGTTGCGGCTAGGGTTTTTCTTTTCTCATCTGGCATAATCATAATCACAAAAATTTAGGGTAATTGGCTAGTTGATAAATTATTAAATTTTTGTTGGTTATAACTTCTAAGGCAAATTAACCCTTATTAGATGTTGATATTTTTGCTCATTTCGTATATTACCCTTATTTTGATTTAACCGTACTGTCGCCTATACAGCTGTTTCTTACCACAATAACAGTTCGAAACTGAAACAGTATGACAATAACGTTTTTATTTTTTCAGCAATGGAAACTTATCATGTACATAAAGCTGTCAGCTAAGCTAAGACATCACTTTTCTTTCTTGTTTTCATAATACTGTTTATTTCTATAACTTCTTCTTCTTTTTTTTTCCCTTAACTATTGATTTTACATAAATATATATACATTTCACAAATATATTGATATATGTAACGTTTGTAAGGTTATTTTATAAAAATATAAATATTTTTAATAAAATTCTTTTTTATTTATATATATATATATATAATTACTAAAATACTACTACTACTCAGGTTGGCTAGAAAAAGTGCGAAAGAGTGTTGGCAAAATACTACTCAGGTTGAAACCGACAAAGCAATGAAGTCCATTACCACTTTTATACTCCATATAAGTAAAAAAAGCCAATATAAAATATTTATAATTAGCATTCGTTTTAAAAATGCATTATACAACTTATAAAAAATGCAAATCATAATAATTTGGAGAAAGTAGTTATATAAAAATTGTCGACAAAATACAAAAATTTATGTAAACTAACAATAATAAAAATACTCCTTAAAATTTACATATAAATGCATAATACTATAGAAATAAATTAATGCGAAGTAGTAAAAAAGAAAAGAAATACTAATTACTAGTAGAAGTGAAGAAGAAACAGTAAGACAGAAGCACTAACCAATTACCTAGGAAACGCACGTTCACTCTCACACGCTT